GCCTGCTACCTGCCGTCGCGCAGTGTTGTTGAGTTTGTTGGCAGTTGCAGTTGAATGCGTGCAGACAATCGTAGTGAAGACGGGAGAGGGTGAGGGTGTTGTTGATGTTGAGTTGGGGCATGGTGGGGAGCTCGCCCACTATCGGCCGCGCCTGCTGATTGGCCGCGAGCCTAGGCCGACCATACCGGACGCATCGCGATAGGGCGGATCGCGATCAAATATGCGTCTTGGGTCAGCATCATGGCCCTTGCGAATGCTGTGTGAAGAATACGGAATAGCAGAAGCGACGCAGGTAAACCACCCGTGCTGTGGACATCATGACAACTTCTACGTCCGACGGCCAATCGTTTCTCTCTACCACAGGATTGCATGTGAAAGACACAACCACAATGTACATTATTCGTGACGTGAAGTCATGTCCGCCCTAGAAACCGCGAGTCCTACAGTAGGTAGAGATTACATAGCGAAGGTCCAATATCTTCACCGCTTATCGATTTTCCATATCTTTCCAGTCAGTGTCAATGTCTCAGTCAAATTATTTTCTCTTATACATCCAGCATGCTCCGGATCCTCTGAGGCTGAGCAGTCTGCATATTCTCGGACGTCAGCGTATGTCCTGTCATTGTACTCGTTGCGTCGCTGTCTGCTCGATTGACTTGTAATCGACCAGAAGCAGCTGTCCTTCCCGACGCGGGGCTCTGATCCCGGAAAGGATCCTGTGGCGGCCTGCTGCGAGATCGGTTCCTGATGTTCATATCCCCCATTTCAATCGGCTCCGTGGGCCGACGTGCAGATGGCCTGCCCCCTCCCACCTCGGTCGTCATATTGCGCAGCCTCTCGTCGTCGGAAGCAAAGCGCTCCCTTATGTTCTTCGACCACCAGCTCGGTTTCTTGACGATATTGAGTTCGGCGTCTTCCACAATGCCACGGGCTTGACGCTGCTGAATGATTATCTTGTCCTCGTTCTCTTCCATAAATCCGGCAATTTCGAAGACGACTATAATGAGCAACATTGGCCCATAACCTAGCCCCAGCGGCCATCCAACATGTACATCCTCTTGGAAGATGCTGAGGTCCCACAGCCAGGCGGACGCAATACCGTATCCAACGCGGATTGCGAGTATAATTAGATTGATGAAGATTTTGGCTGGACAATACCGGCAGAAGTTGGTGATCTTATTCCAGATACCAGGGGGACTCGGCTTGTAATGCTTCATAGAGTGATGTAAGGAGTAGCAGATGACAAGCCAAGCGACTCCTGCTATTATTGCCCCTGCCTTCTCTCTTGGGCCAGTAGCTGCAGGCCTGGCAATATCGTTCTTCTGTTCTGGTGTACTCTGTTTCTGGAGAGGAGTCCAGGAACGAGGGATCGTCATGAAGAAATTCATCCATGCGAAAAGGTAAAAGACCAAAGGCAACCAGAATTCAGTCCTGGACCGCTTGTCGTCCTGGGGAAGCCCATATGGGTCGGCATCAACTGCTTGTCTTTCTTGCCACGAACCCCTGCGCATGTAAGTTGAGTGAAGCCATGAATTTGAGCCATGCCTACCAATGTCGCACCGCTTCCCAGACCATGGCGAGCGCGCCCGGGACCATCAACATGAAAAAGAAGCTTTGTAGAACAAGTGGGAGCTGCTGCAAGTAGTAGCGGTCCACGTCGACGCCTGTTATTGTACTGGTCATGCCGCACCCCGCCACGAAGCACATCCAGTACCATTGCCATCGTCGTCCGACGATCCTGAATCTCTTGTCTTCGCGTAGATATTGCTTTCCGTGTTTGCGCAGATTTATAAGCGTGAACATCACGCTCAGGCTGAAGAGCGCCGCAAACACGATGCTTCCAATGCTCCGCGCCCCAATTCCATAATATGGTATATAGCATGTCGTCGCATTAATCCAACTACCGTTACTCAGCATCGATGGCTTAAAGTTGTCGAAGATGAGGTAGCATTTCGAGTCGTTGGAGATGGTATTGTTGCTGTAGAGCGTGTAGTTCCACTCGTTCAACGCCGTAAGGTTGAATTGGACGCCATTTATTGTCGTCGACGTATCGTTGTCGCCGTCTGCTTTAGGGAAATCGATGAGCGCTCGAAGATTGAGCAGAGGCATTGCGCTTGGTATATCGGCTTGCGGAGCTTGGTGGGCAATTCTTGGGGTACAGCGATATGCAGGCTCTATGTCGGCCTCACCATCGTCCGAACGGCTTGGTGGTGGAAATCTCGACAAGGCGCAAAGTATATGATGGGCACTTCCGCGGGGTTCCGACGATATCGTCGTCTGTCCGCGTTGTTACGAGAGATGGTAAGGGAGAGGGAGCTTGCGATCGGTCGAGGAGGGGTTATCGGAGCTCGTCGGAAGAGCAGGTCACAGAAATTAATGGCGCATCGGGCCGTGGATAGATACCAGCAAGCAATGATCCAAGATCTTCGGCGCATGTCATGGTTGCGTGCTTAGTCATATTGTAGCGTCGGGGAGGCGGGAACCCTAATGCCGAGGGTTGGTCCTCCGCTTTCGACTCTTGTCCACAGCACCACTTCACAGTATCGACAACAATGCAAGCTTGCTATCACGCATTGTTCTGAGGGTCTCTGAGTCTCTGAATGCTATGAGAACAAGATCGAAAGGGAACAGATCGTGGAATAGGACAGGAGACAAGTATCTGTGAGGTCCCAATCAATGGCCTCTATCTTCATCTCTGCAGGGGCTTCGGTCTGCTTGTCACTCTCACGCTGCTGTTTCTTCGATCTATCATATTCGGAAATCTTTTTCATCAACAGACCAAAAGCCAGTATGACGGTTGGATACGATACGAAGTAACTCAATGACTGGCAGTGCAAGATGGCTATCCACTTCACTTCACCCACCCAAAACTAGTCTCTTTACAACGGTAATATTCACGACCGACGGCAGTAATCACGATGGCCGCAATAATCAGTTATAACGACAAGTTTGTTGTGAAATACATCCCCACTTCACTATTGACGACTTATTTAAAGCGATGAGTTTCCCGAAGTGTCCTCATAGGCAACTCACCTCCACCAACGACGACCACATATCAAGATGTCCGAAGAAGACACGCCCAAATACACGGGCAAAAGGCTACCCAGTCCCGCCACGCGCAGCACCGCAAGACTCACCACACCCCGCAACAACACAACAGACACCACCCAGAACGCCCTCGCAGATGCCCAACTCCACCACCTTCTCGAACAGCAGATCCTCAACACCGCACGCGCAGTCTACAGCTTCCCAGGAGACAGTCAACTTGCTGTTCTCATGCAGACAGACTCGGATGGAGACCCCTTCGCACAGCTGGTCCTGTACGGCACGCCCAACACGCTTGTGCTGATTGAAGAGTCGGGGATCTCGCGCCATGATGCGCTGCAGAACCTGCTCAGCATGATGGAGAACTGCTGGAGTGCAGTCTGTGAGCTGAATGTTGGTGATAAGGGAGGCAGCCCGTACTATATTGAGGAAAGTATAACTCTGTCCGAGGCTGGGCAGGTGGTTACTGAAGATACCTGGAGTGAGGATGAGTAGTGGAAACTTGTGACAGCATGTTTCTGTGGATGCTAACATGGTACTGTGGCTTTTCTTCATTCTAGCGAGTTTTCCGTCTTCCAAAAGCGCTAATGATATCTAGCATAGCAGGCAATGCAGTAACCACAACGGCGCTGGTAGAGTGTGATGCTGGTGGAGCTTCTCCTCATGCTGGCGATCTTAGTCAAGTAACTTGTTGTTGCCTGCCGTAATCTGCTCTTCAAGCCGGCGGAGCTTCTCTTTATGCTGGCTATCTTGGTCACGTAGCTTGTTATCGCCTGCTGTGATCTGCCCTTCGAGCTGGCGGAGCTTCTCAGTAGTCTTTGCAATCTGTGCTTTCGACGATGCCGTAGCAGTCATTGCCTCTTCAATGGCGCTAGCCTCGTCAACTTTAAGCACATCGATCTGATGCTGCAGCTCCACATTTGCAGCCTGCACCAATCGGAGAGTGGTCCCTAGATCAGCTCTTCCCTGGTCGACCTGTTCAGTCCAGGCGCGTGCTAGGGCTTCCATACTGCCTAAGTCTTGACTGTGAGCCTGCTCAGCATGCTCCAGCCTGCTTACAGTTGATTCTACGATATTCATCTCGCTCTTGAGGTGCTTGTAGTTGTCTTGGCTTCGTCCCAAGAGGACCGAGAGACGGTCGCTGTTATCGGCCATGATGTGGTATTCGCGGCTTTGATGGTCGATCAGACAAACAAACAATGTTCGCTCTGCTCGGCGACTCTGGCACGACTTTCGTAATTGCTGCACGAGAACCACTCGTTCCTGTCTAGCTTTGGCGAGCGCTTCTCGCTCTGCTTCAAGAACGCTTGCTTGGTCGAGAGCTAACTCAATAGAGTCAAAAGAGAGTGTATCCGTGACGATGTGTCGGGAAATAGCAAGAAGTCAAGTGCGAAGCTTGTTGATGTAGGTAGCAATCGGATATTGGCCTCTAGAGCAGCTCCGCCCTGGTCGATCTGGTTAATCTGGGCGAGTGCATGGGCTTCCGGATTGTCTAGGAGAAGAGAAAGTGTTCGAGAGCAGCTCATAGCAGAGCCTCCTTTGTTTTCGGCGTAAGCTAGATAGGTGGCTGTTTTGTAGAGCTACACTCTCAGTACCGTAGTTTGTCCTCCTCATCTTTTCACATATACTTATACACAAAATGTCCATCATAGCTCCAATCTGTCGATATATATATAGAAGACTTCAGGGGATCCTCTAGACAGCCTAGGAGTTTTGAGCAATAGATAGATAGTATACCCTTGTCTTCACAAAGCCCTGTTGTATCTAGCATACTAGGTATTGTCCATGCAGCCCTAAAGGGTTTGTAAGAGAGCACAGAGTGCAGGCCCGCTTACCTAGAGGCGCGAATTAGAATCGAAACCTTCTCTTGTAGCAGAAAAAAAGAAAGCAAAATGCCGCAAAGCTTATAGGACCATAGAGCTGACAATGGACTGGCAAAAACATATGCAAAAAGACGACATCGGAGTGATTCGAACACTCGCCCCCGAAAGGATCAGCTGCCAGTTTAGGATTCGAGGCTGACGCGTTAACCACTCCGCCACGATGCCATTTTGAATTAATTGAAGATTTTCCAGGTTTGAAAGTATATATCCGTACTCACCGTTAGCCTGGCAAGCTGAGTCCGCAGGCGATAGCCTCTTACCAAGGCCGAGTGCGGGGCAATCCTCACCCAGTCACATCACGGCACAGGTGCAAATATCAAATCGCCGTTCGGCAGTGGTTCGGCCGGGCACCGCCTGCAAGTTCCCGGCGCCCGAGTCACGTCGAGTCGGGTCGGGAGATGCACTAGTGGCGCACTTTATCCGCGTCTCGATTGGTTTCATGCAGGTGCATCGGCCGACGACCAGCTCCACCTCCGCAGAAGACCGACCGTCTGGAGGCTGACCAGAACCGCGGGCGTGCTGTTGGGCTCTGGACGCTAGATACCGCGAGCCCGTTGAAGTTTGCTCGCGCGACACGCCATGTAGACACTCCCTCCGCCGGCCACCCAGCTCACCAGCCTCCGCCATGGACTCCATCGCCCAGAAGGCGGCGCCGCTGGCCTCGCCCAAGATCCTGAAGAACTCCAAGGGCGTCATCCTGCCGACCAGCCAGGTGGCATATGTCGTCTACGGCTGTGGTAAGTTGCCCAGAAGTGCAGAGTACGCCGGCTGACGAGCGCTGTAGAGCACATGCAGGAGATGATGGAGAGCGCGCGCAAGCCGACCTTGCAGCACTACAAGGCCATACTGCAGGACCTACACGAGAAGCCCAGCATCATCGCGCAGACGTACAAGAGCGCTGACGGCCGGCCCGTTGTCTCCCTCCGCCCGCTCTACCTCTGCCTACAATGTCCTAGCATCCTGACCGAGGCCGATCGCGACCTACATGTCGAGTCGAAGCTGCACTGTTTCTGTGGGTCTTACAACTACATCAAGGTTAAGTTTGCGCTGATACGGTGATAGCTGTGGAGTCTCGAGAGGGTCACGTCTACTGCGGAAACTGCCAGGATTTCATATACGATCCCGACCTGGACTCGAAGCGGTTGCAGAAAGGTGGGTTCACCATTTGAATGGCAATGTACGCTGGGAAGCTGACCTGCTGAATTTAGGGAAGAAGCGGAAGTACGAGGACACAACTACGCCCGATGACCATAAGTTAATCATTGGCAACTCCATTTTCCTCCCCTGCCGATCAACTGGCCTCCGCGGCCTGTACAATATGGGCCAGACCTGCTTTATGAGCGTCATACTGCAAACGTTAATACACAATCCGTTCGTGCGGAACTTCTACCTGTCTGAAGGACATCGGACGGCCGAGTGTGAAAGGGAGGCATGTGTAAGCTGTGCACTTGATGAGATGTTTGTGGAATTCTACTCTGTCGAAAAAACCGAAGGCTTTGGTGCTGTTGGCATGCTCATGGGCAGTTGGCTCGCTGGCGATGTGAGTGCTCATCCAGTGCCCTCTCGAGACGGCTGCTAATTCACGATTTCCAGAGTCTCGCAGGTTACCAACAGCAAGACGCCCACGAATATATGCAATTCATGCTGAACACGCTTCACCTGCAAAATGGCGGCTCGACCGATTCTGACGACTGCGCGTGTGTGATCCACCAAACTTTCTACGGCAAACTCTCGAGTACTGTAACCTGCGACAAGTGTCGGAATGTGACCACAGCATTAGATCCATACATGGACCTGAGTCTAGATGTGCGGAATCAGGGGAAGAAGCGGAAACTGGACTCGAATACCGGAGAGGACATACGGTTGGATCTACGCGACTGCTTGGAGCGATTCACCAGTCGGGAGAAGCTAGCGGCTGAGGACTACATGTGTCAGAACTGCGATGGTGGCCAGCATGCGACGAAACAGTTAAGCATCAAACGGTTACCCCCGGTGCTCTCTATTCACCTCAAGGTATGTTCGAACTGGTTGCATATGGAGTTGACGCTAACCTTGGGCAGCGCTTCGAGCACACCAAATCCACCTCTTCGAAGATCGAGACCATGGTCCGGTTTCCCATGAAACTAGACCTGTATCCCTACACCACAGACTACAAATCCACGCAAACCAAAGCGTCCAAAGCATCCGGACCGCCGAACACGAACCACAACGTCAATTCGCCCGCGAACAGCATCCTCTACGAGCTCTCCTCGGTCATCGTGCACAAGGGCAAAATCGACTCGGGCCACTACGTCAGCTACTCCCGCGAAGGAAACGACTGGTTCTCCTTCGACGATAGCAAAGTCGTCTTGGTCCCGGAGTCGGAAGTGCTCGGCGCAGAGGCCTATCTGCTGTTCTATATGGTCAGCAATCTAGAGATGTGAGCGGAGCTGAGCTTCGGTGCGGCCGCGTCTCACTTCACGCCCCGTTTCCTGTGTATCAAATCCTACTTTGTGGTTGTATATTATCCCTTCACAAGGCGTATCGAGGCCGTTCCTTGTCTCGACATTGGCATCTTCTGGCGTCTTCCTTTCGGTCTGGCTTTGCGCGCATCGTCATCATCATCATCATACCATGGACCCTCGGGACGGCGCTGCTTATCGATGGAGAAATACCACTTTGCGGTGTTTACTTAGTCATTTGTTTGTCTTTTGTTTCTTTCCTTCTCGAACCTCGTGGCGTGGACAGTTCCTTGCCACGGACTCTGGGTACGTCCCGAAGTTGTCTGGGAGGCGAGCAGCAGATGCAGCATGCAGGATCGGTGCATGGAAAGAGGCGGCTTTTTGTACGCATTAGATTCATACCCCCGAGCATCAGAGAGTAGTAGTGTAGTAGAGAATTCAGGACTTGTGGGCAGGTGGTTGTCAAATTTGGCGCGGCATCGTGTTGATATCGATCAAGGCAGCAAAGGCATACCTACGTACCGAGCGTTTGGGTTCCCCGACTTTGACAATACTGCCGGAACGAGCTTCATGCAAGGGTTGTCAGTCAACTACGAAGTACCGCCCTTGAAAAAGAAAGAAAGCCGTCCATTTATAAGAGGTATATATATAGCTGCAATCCCTTCTTGCTACCCTTCTTCTTCTTCACTCACAGAGTTTCGAATAGCATCTATCTTCTTTCATTATCCATCTATCTGCTCAGCTTTACGAAAACATAACAGACCGGGTATCTAAACAACCGTAAATAAAAACGCGATTCGACCGTACCGTACCGTACCGTCCACACAAAGCGCCGCGCAACCGATGCAAATCGCCATGCTATACCTACGCCTCACCAGGCCAGGCCAGGCCATGCCACGCAACATGATGCCACGAAAGGGGAAATATATAAGCGCTACATCCATCTACACCTCCGGATCCATACACTGGCAATCCGCAACACTGCCGCCCGCCCGCTTCCCACTCAACAGCGTCGGACACTTCCACGCCACATCCGGACTCTCGCACTGAAACACCAGATTCCACATACGCTCCATAGTGTACCCGAAATCCGGCGCATTCATCGAGTCCGGACGGCCCTGGAGATACTCCTGCTGGTGCGCCCAACTGTTCTCGTCCACGAACGCATCGTGCAGGTACTCGTAGACGGGCTTCCCCGCGCCGCGCACGCGCTTCGCCGACACGATGAACTGGCCCTTGTAGCTGAGCAACACGTGCGCGCAGCTGGTGGCGTTGCTGTTGTTGTTGATGCGGGCGTGGATGCGCGGGAACAGGTGCGTGTTGTCCCAGAACTGCCAGCGGTCGCCGCAGTGCGCGCAGTTGCAGAGGTGGCCGGACCAGCCCATGCTGAGCATGCCGGTGCGCGCCGGGTCGAAGTAGTCTTGGATGCGCGGGTAGAATTCGCGCGGGTTGTGCACGTCGGCCTGGAGGAAGACGGTGTGCTTGGCGAGGTTGTCCCACTCGTGCAGGATGTGGTAGAGGTATGTTTCGCCCTCGCGACCGATGTTGGGCAGCGATGTCACCTTGTCGGCCCCGGTTAATTGTTTGATCTTCTCGCTGTCTGCCTCGTCGTCTTTGATGTAGATGTGGACTTTCGAATCTGACAGGCTTGGCATGTTCCGCAGCGTTGAGACAAGGGTTGTCACCTCCTCGATCGGCTCTTTATACATGCTCAACACGATCTCGGTGGCGATTGCAGGATTGTATTCGAGGTCTAACTTCGGGCTTGATGTGGTAACCTCCAGAGACGGCCTCTCGGTGAAGTTTAGAATCGGCAATATGGTCCAGAGAAATGTTGCTACGATGCCCAGGATCAATGCGCGAACAAAAACGCCTTTCCGGTCTTCGTGGATACCGGATGCGGGAATAGGGTCTGTTGTTTCCGAGACAGCAGTATTCTCGCTGTCGAATGAATCTAAGCCAGCGAAAGCCGAAAGCGCGGTATATCCTTTACGGTCGTCTCGGCGCTTGTTGCTCAGTGCATTTACGACTGAACGTCCCCCAATGCATATCACAGCGAGCAAGAAAGCAAATAGTTGGTAGTAGGTCATGTAGGATCGCCGCAGCATCAAGGTCGAGAGGCTTCCCATCATCCCTGCCAAGAAGAGGAGCGAGAGGGTGTCACCAGCACGAGCAACTGCCCTTTGACTGGTAGAGCCACTGTCGTGTTTGTTGTATATCGGGAATAGGACCGACCTGCCGAGCGTGAAAGCCGTGCCTGTAGAAAGTGCATTTAGTAAGATGAGGGGCGCATATTCCCAGCGCAGAACTTTGAAGAAGCCCGGACGGCTATGGAGATCGATGTAGGTCGCCTCTTCACCATGGACGTGATACCAAACAGCAACAATGACCGAACCTGCCAAGCAAGTCAACGTGTTTATTCGTCTCGCATCGGACACAGCCTCTGGAAGCCGATCGAGGCCAATTGTATAGAGCGCCTTGGACAGCCCGATGAGCAACGCTGCCGGAATCGAGGCCCACAGACCTCGCGGAAGCAGCCTGTATTCCCCCACTAGTATACCGGCGCAACTGACAGCGAGGACGGCAAGGCGAAGGGGTTCTAGGAACGGGCGACTGGATGAGCTACCTCTCGTGATGAGGTCCTCGGCGAGGAACGATACGGTCTGGTTTGCATGAGCACACCGACAGCCATGACTTGGAGAGATTACTCACAGACAGCATAAC